GCATTCGTTCACAGTTCACGGTCGCTCGTATATCGAAAGAAGCAAATCGATTTATCGCTTATTCAAGTTTGTTTTACGTTGCTAGAAGTTCCGTCGCTTTTTCTCGTTTCGTAACTATTTTCAGCCGTAACTATTTATTGCGTTCCCATCCTATCTTTTCTCTTCCTCTAGGTGGTGCTTTAATTCTTCTTTTTTCTTCCTTTCGTCTATTCCCGGTTGTGCTCCTCCGTCAAATATTTAAAAGTTTCCTCTTTTTCACCCGAGTCGTTGTAAATGTATCGCGACTATTTTTCAGTAGACAAGACCAACACGCGGAAAACTCGATTTCGTTCTATATATACTCTAATTGCGGCGCATCGCTTCTTCGTTGTTCATTTTTTTTCTTTTTGTCTTTTTTTGTCTTTTTTTTTTTTTTACTATACGCGATTTCGTTCGATATTTCACCGATTCGCATGATTAACGAATTTCGGTCGAGAGGAATAGTCCGGGGCCGCGAGGAATATCTGACGCGTCGGGCGTGATCTGTGAAGGTTCCATTTCCAACGTAGACTTCCATCGATCACGCCCGTGCCCGGGATTCGTTACCATTGGCAGAGACATAATATCTACGGATCGCCTTCTTATTAGCGGCACTCGAATCCAGGCGAGGAGGAGAATCTTTCACGGTGGAAGGCGAAGTGCTATATTCGCACTCTCCCTCTAGACGGGATATGAATTTCATATTTTACGATAATATCGCGGGATATGTTCGCAGAGTAAACGAATCTCTCGCCCCCTCTTCTCTCTCTCTTCCTTCTTCTTTACTACTGGTGGTGCAGTTTTCACATGCTCATGGGAAAATCGTATCAGCGCGAAGAATTTTTCGCGAGCGCCGTTACCTTCGGCTGGGGCGTCGTCGTTTGTATCGACTTTCTTGCGCGGCGCGCGTTAAAATTTGCGCGGGAATGATAAATCGTTATCGCGTAACACATATTTAATCGAAATCTAGAACGGAAGAAATTCTCGCGATACTACAAGTTACGTAGATATCCTTCACGTCACAGTAAAAGTTTTATCGCGTAATTCTCCCGCGATATCTGACGGGAGTTCCTGTTATTTTTTTTTTCTCGCGTTCCACTTTTCGCGTTATTACTGGAAACACTTCGGGGAAAAAGCAGAAGTAATTACAAATTTTGCAATAAACGTTACTAAAGCTTTCATCAGTTATGGAAGAAATAAGGTTGAAAAAAATATATCATATATATGTATATATATATATATATATACATATTGTATATAACGTTATGTAATTTTGCAGAGTTTTATATTATAAAAATTTTTTCGCGCGACAGCTTTAGGAATATTTTAATTTATTGGCTTTTTCTTAATTGCGTTTTTTAATTTGTTTGGTTAATTTTGTTCGTCGTGCAAAAGAGAGTCGTGTCTGTGATGGTAACACATTGAGTGCCGCGTAGGGTTAAGCGAATGGTCCGCACTAAAGATAATTATGTGTCACTTAATGACACGAAACACTTCGTGATAATGTTTGTTTCGGTAAATATTTACAAGAGGTTACTTCTCTCCGACTTCAATGAGGTTGACATATGTTGTCAAGGACGTCTTCCTGAGTAACAATCAAAAGGTTTTAGCCAATCAAAAATCTTTTGATTGTTACCTCAGGGAAGTGATCTTGACAACATATGTCAAGCTCATTGAATTCGGAGGGGAATGACCTTTTGTAAATACTTTACTTACGTTTGTTTCTGTACGAAATGATCAAAACTGCCTGAGCAGAAAGTTTTAGCATTAGGGTCGCCGATGATGTGTCATTCGACGTGTAAATATCATCATTTCCTCTTGAATTCATAGTCGCGTTGAGCGTTTTTTGTCCTCGAGATCGGATATGCATCTTGGGAGTTCGCTTCTTGCAAATGCTCGATACTATTATTCGTACATACATAGAACGCGATATGGTATCTAACCGGGATGCGATTAATCGTTCTATCGTTTCATGAGTCGTCGGTTTATCGTCGCCTCCGAGCGGAGCTTAGAAGGCGTTTCACGGTTATTCCCCCCTCGCTTTACTTGCCAGCAATAGCTTCCGGTTTCATCTCAACTACGTCGGCTTCAAGTGCTTCGTTGTATAAAGTACACACATACGAAGCCCCCGTACGTAACGAGAAGGAGATAGTAAAGTTGAGTGGCGTAACATTATATATAACATGATATCGACGCGATTTCAATTGATTGAAAATCTCGGCGCACATCGTCTGTATTTACCTCGCGACATTATTCTACTAGAATGAAAAAAAAAATAAATAAATAAATTCGAACTGTAATCAAGCGAATTAGTAACCCAAAAATTAGAGCGGAATATTTTACCGTTTATACGGCACGCATCGAATACACTTGCGGCGGCTAAATGCCTAACTAATGCCTCAATTAATATGATAATAAGCCCTAACCGTTTTAATTTCGGCGCCGACTAGTCCAAATGCGCGGCAACATGAATTGCGAATCGCCAATTAGCATGCATGCTAAATAAACTCCGATAATTTTCCCGCGGAATTTGATGCCGAGGGAAATTGACCGCGGAAGTTCTGTCACGCGCAAAATAGTTCTCACGCTTCGGATACACGCGGTCTAGTCAACATCGTTTGTATGTTTTAATTCGACAAAAATCCTTGTGCGCGCGCAAGACGCCGGGGTTTTTTAACACACAAACGTTCACGAAATGTAATGTAATTCCGGTGATTTGCTGCCGATTTTCTTTGCGCGCAACGTGCGCGCAAGCAAGAATATTTTTTCGTGCGAACACGTGAATAATGTATACGCGCAAAAACGCGAAAAAAATTTTTTTAATTTTTCCGAGTGGAGCGCGCGCGCAACAAGCACTTAATACCTTCGACCGCTCTGATAGCTTAGTGATAAAGTTGAAGTGCTTTGTAAATTGACGGTCGCGCTTTCTCGGCTCGGCGCATTCAATTTTTTTAGAAGTATTTACTCAAACCGCGAAAGATTGAGATATTATGCGCGTAATATAATATTCACGTTCAAACTGCAAATATATAATTCATTTCAGCGATGAATTAAAACGTCGACGTTATCCTATCAGAAAAAGCGTGTGTAAATAATCATTTCTCTCGATATTGATTGTTTGCCACTTTTATCTCAACGCTGATTGGACGTTTCTCGGATGTGTTTTTCTGATTCATGTCGTACGTATCAAAAAAACACGGTAGTGCCTCGTGCCTCAAGAAGTTCATGTGCAACGCGAAGTCGCGCGAGGCACTTGTACCTCTTATACGCGCAATTCGTGCGATTGAGAAGTGAGGCGATTTTCATGGAGCAATATCACAAGAACTTGACTGAACCAGTTTCGTTTTAGTCTCAATCTGCTTCAAAACACTAAAAGCAAAGTATTCTTGCGTTTTTTAAAGTTACGTGACAGGAAAGGGAGAAAAAAACACCACGACTTTCTCTATTGTTCGAGTTTGATCTTCATGCAATATTTCTGACGTCTCTCATATCTACGTTATGTGTATTATATGGTTTGTAAGACGTATATAACATTAAATACTATATATATATATAATTTGTTATAATATATATTTATAATATTATACTTTATATTGTATTATTATGTATTATATACATACTACAGTAAGGTCACTGACTCGGCCGCGCGGCCTTGGCGGGGTCACTGACCTCGGTCGCGCGACCGTGGCGCGGTCACTGACCTCGGTCACGCGACCGTGGCGCGGTCACTGAACCGGCCGCGCGGCCTTGGTGGGGGGACGGTCACTGACCCGGTCACGCGACCTTGGCGGGGTCACTGACCTCGGTCGCGCGACCGTGGCGGGGTCACTGACTTTGGTCGCGTGATTACGGTGTATATGTGTATATGTGTGTGTGTATTAGGTATATGTAGATATAGAATATTATATATAATATATATAATATTTTCTTTTTTACTCTTTTTTCTGTCACATGACTTTAGTCACGTGTTGTTTTTTCATTCTTTTCTCTTTCTTTTATTTTTCGAGTTTGATTTTCACGCGTTATTTCTGACGTTTCTCATATGTGTGTTATATGGTTTGTAAGACGTGTATACCAGCTGTCATCGCGGTGACAGGTTGTGTTCACTGACACAACACGTTAAAATAAAAATAATAACAACGTGCGCGTAGCGCTTGTGTTGTGCTAGTAATGTTAAAAATCGTACGTGACACGTTGTTCACGCACAATATTTTTATGTGTTTTTAGTTCTTGCGTTTTGAACGAGACATTAATTCGTATACGCGCGCTATCAGATTTTATGAATTCAATTATTTTCTTTTATTGAGAGAGAAAAAAAACTATCAGATTTGTGTGAATCCTGTTCCGCCAGAAATATTTGATTCGCGCGTTTGAAATTCTTTTGGAAAATCAGATTATCCCCGACGCGATCTCTATTTCACGTTTGAAGCATCGCGACGATTAACAAATATTCAATATGAAGTTTGCTGTATTTACGCAAGGTTTTCGCTTATTCGCGCGCACGCATGCGCGAGCGCGATGTAGTAGCTAGCGTTATTCGCAGGACACTTCATTTCGCGCTGTGGAACAAACAAGCTTTTAATCACAGTTTCAGTTTTGAAGCTATTGTCTTTGCGGCGCGTTCCTCGCTCGCGTCGCACCGTTACAACGCAAAACGCGCACAATCAATATCCCGCGTATACTCGGCGCTTAATATTTTTCAACGGTTACCGCGTAGTTCTCTCGGAAGGGTGAAACTGCCTTTCGCGCGAGTACGAGAGGATGGCGCCGGAGAATTACGCAATACACGTAGTCTATTGTACTCCGCGGAAGCGCATATAAAGCTGACGACATAACGGGCTCCTCATTGGCGCTTGAATATTGGATAAGTTCGGCGGCAAACCCCCGCGATTATGCTCTCCTATCCTCACCTCTCCTCGTCTACCCTCGTTGCTATACCCGAGTTTCGACTATAAGAGAGACCTCGCGAAATTATGTTTCAGCTCTGCCCAGCGGAAGGCCCGTTATTGCAGCGGAACGCAATCGCTACGTCGCGGGAGACACGCTGAGGGCAAATTGCAGCCTGCCGTCGTCGAAGCCGCCGGCTCATCTCACATTCATGTTAAACAACATGCCGGTAAGCGATTCCCATTGACACGTTTGTCGTATTATCGAATCACGAAGAGCGAGAGAAATCCCCGAGATAGTGTGCGTTGACCAAATTGGGTCCCGGGTTCCGTTGTTCGCGGTCGCACGCATGCCACGCACATTCCGCGTCAATATTTACAGTAGCCATCGAAATTACGCAACGTATAAATTCTCAAAAGATAGTCCGACATATTTTACGATAAATGACAATAATTGGTTCGAAGCAATAAAAAGTTCTTTTTTTTTTTATTAAAGGCGAATATATATTTTTATATTCTCTTTTTTTTTTTTTTATACACACGTCACTCACTTGTCGACTATTTATAGTCGGGAATGAAAGTTCGCTGTCGTTGATTTTACGTCCAAATATACGTGTTGTGCTTTGCGATTCATTCATCTAGCGCGACGAGAGATTAGCCTCGCGCAGCGAAAGTGTGTTTAAAATTGTCGAAAAACGTTACAAAAATACCGAAATATCACACCACCGGAGCGACTTCTCTCTTTTTTTTTTCTTTTTTTTTTTTTTTTTTACCAAACGGTCCATCAACAGCTGCAGCCTTTTAGCCTTTATACTACTCAATCGGAATCCGCTTTGCTCTCGCATCTTCCCCGCTCGCGAATGAGTGCCTTTATAAAAATTGTTAAATCGAAGAGACTATTTGCTTTTACCACCCCATAAAACTCGTAAGCCTCATTGAAAGTGTGCGCGGGGATTTTCGATATCGATTTTCAATTTAGGGAATATATGTATCCTAACATCGCGCCGCCATTATCGTCGCCGTCGATGTTTATTGTAGGAAACTCTTCGCGAACCTTCGGAAAGTAGATCATTTCCGCGCGTGTTTTTTTTTTCTTTCCCTCTCCTTTATCGCCAAATCACGCGCGCTCGAAACCGTCGTCGTCGTCGTCGTCGTTGTCGTCGGCGGTGTCGCATTTATCACTCGGGCTTTCAACCGATTTGCGCGCGCGCTCTCTCTCTTCTCACGGACGGCTCATTTCGAAGCTCTTCTCCGAATTTAGACCGAGAATAATTCCGGCGCGTGTAACGGGCGCAAAACTCACGGGAGGAAACGTGAGGAAACTCGACGAAGAAGAGCCGGGCAAAATCGACAGACTTTAAAGGGGTTAAGCAAACACTTTGTTATCGCGAAAGTGTGCAGTAATATACGCGTGTCGGCTGTTTGTCTTTCGGGCGATTCAGTTCTTATGCCAAATTGAATCTCGCTCCTCGAAATCAGGACGTGAATGATTAAGCCTCATCCTGGATGACGACGCGCGCGCAAGAGAGAGAGAGAGATAGAAAAAAGAAGAAGAGAGTTTTATCAAGCGCGCATCCGCAGGATAAGAGAATTTGAATAATCAAGTAATCCGAGCAAAAGCTGCCGGCAGCACCGAACGAAATACTAATAACCACGATACGAGCAAAAATGCTGTCGAGTAACTTTTGCCGAGCCCGGAGACACACGCCGGGCGCAGCCTTCGGGCGATGCATTACCCATAATCCCCCCGGGGATGACGTCGCCGGGATCTCATTAGCCGATACGGCTAAATGCAAAACGTGGTCCGCCGTGCTTTCGATCCGTACGCGGAAATACGAAATTCGCTGCCGCGACTTTGATCGAACGGCACTGTATGTGTACGCGGCGGCTCGTCTTTGGTCGACCCCCGTTGCATTATAGAGAAAATTATTAACTTTCAATTACTACTATTTCGATTGTTTCTGTTGTGAATTGTATAATGAACGTGTGTTTAATTTCTTATTCCCATACCATAACTTTGTTCAATTACCTACACTTGATTTGCTTGCGTGTGTCTTGGAACTTGCTGATCGACCGACCGACTCGATCGATGTCTAATTTCACAAGAGCGAGGAAAATCCTCGCAGTCGCTACATGCGCAAAGCCCAGGTATCAACCCCCCCATGTACGTCGCTCGTTATTTCGTGTCTCGCTCGTCAAGACGACTCACAAACCAATGTCGCAAACGTCAACGGTTTCAATTTTACACAAATTTATTATAATTGTATGCAGTTACATAGAATGTTTATGAATTTACATAAATGTTTAATGTTGGTTTATCTGCAATCATTCACGTTCAAGTAAAGTGCGTGTGTTTGATGCTTTTAAATAACTCTGAGAGATATATAAATGATCGATGATGAAGTAAATCCGCGTAGAAACTTCTTTGTGAAGTTGCGGTCGACATCATTCCTCTGATGATACGATAACAAGAAGCCGGAAAAATGTAAATTCGAAAGAAACTAACCGCGAGAGTTCTTTTATCCATGAGACCTAGAAAATTAAAATTGCATACATATACATGTAAACGCGAGTAACGATGGAACTGTGTCAGTGCGGCGGGGATGATGAGGAGAGGGAGTGGTAACGAATTGCCCAGGTTATGGGAGCAACGGGGTCGAGTCCGCGCGCTCGCTCGCTCGCTCGCTTCTTACGACTAACGTCTTGTCGAGAGAAACTCGTGTCGAATTTGCAGGGAGCGTTTCTGAGAGCGCGAAAGATATCTTCTCGCGGAAACAAGGGTTTCTTACAGCTCGGGCGTTGCCAGTACAAGTTTACTTGCGCCGGAAAGAAGTAGTTTCGCCTCGTTTGGAAAAAGTTGCAGCCAAGGCGATCTCTCTCCGAGAAAACTTATTTCTCGCTTGTCACGAGAATCATTTTGATTATTGTGTAACTTTAATATTTTGCTTATAAATAACGCGTGAAATTAAAATTTGGACTCGCTTGTCAAATGACAAAATTTAATTTTTTTTCCGCTATGTAATCACAGAGAGAGAGAGAGAGAGAGAGAGGTTTTGAAGACAAATACAATTCTCTCGAAATTATTGTGCGAGCAGTGAGCACTATAATAATACACGGCTTGCATTAAAAATACACACGCATAAAAAATTGTAGTTTTCCACTTTAAAGTTGATGAAGCAACTTTTAATAAAAAAAAAAAAAAAAAGTTCTGCGAGCTCGTGACTCATTGTTTTCTGTTTGTTTAAAAATTATAATTACGTTCGATAACAAGAGTTTATTGGATTATCGTGTACATTCACGGCTATCAACGGCAAAAGTCGGAAATTAAAAATAAAATTTATTCACTTCATTTTTAATACATTTTTTTTACAACATTACCGTTGCCAAATGACGCTCTTAGTAAGTTTTTGCAATTTTCGTTACGTATTTATCATTGTCAAAGAAAAAAAAACGAATTAAATATGCGTTACAGTTTATAATGCACAAGTTTGTTAAACGCGCAATTCGATTAATAAAATCAATAATTATCTCGATGCGATCACGCGAAAAACATGTTACATGTGTTTACATCCGCGACATTGAATAATGACATTGAAAGGCCGCGGCATCTATAAAACACATCTCGACCGCTAATGTGCAATTATACACGATAATGCGACACTTCCCGCGCGGAAGTGCATTCCAGATTAGAAATTCAGATAAATTGCGATAGACAAGCGGTTAATATGCCGTTATCAGTTTCCTGTTCCGCGTGTGTGAATTATTCGCGGAACAAACAGGCGCGCCAAAAGATATGTTCGATAATGTATATACACGTGTATTAATAAATTGCGATTTTAATGACGATGGTGCGCTTGTCGCAGAAAAAAAACGTACTTCGCATAATTATGAATATCATTATCGTAAAGTAAAATTTTTAAAACCGCCCATCCCCTATTATATCGCCCGTCGTAAATCTGTCGTGCTATTCGTGCTGTAAAGTGCTTATGAGAAAAAGATTTTTTTTTTTTTTTTTAACAATTCACGCAAAAAATATATTTTACAAAAACTTTAATCGCGTCGAGACATAAGTTCATCTACATATTCCCCAAAGCCCGGCCATTTTCGAAGGTAATCGTGTAGTACCGCCGCTATCGCGGATATGAATAAATTTTATGCATCAGACGCGGGCTCGTATACGCAGATATCAATATACGGTGTCGTTATCCTTTAATATCCCCCATAGACCGGGTTCGTAAAGAGGCGTCGCTGTCACGCGCGATCGCGCTTATCCTTGCATTCTCGGTGTTCACGTATGGAGCGACGAGGTTGTTTAGACATTCCCGTCCGGTACATAAATCGGTATCATCCTGAAAAGTGGCGCAAGACGAGCAACACGAAAAAGGATCACCTCTTTTCTCGCATCCACGATGCGGTGAGTTGTTGACAATATACGTTGCTGACAAAATACTGATTCGCAAATTGAAATTAAATTACGATTGGAGGGTTTAAGAAGAAGAATTACACTCTGAAAATTATTCCGTTGTATTAATTGTTAATCTTTTTCTATTGCTCTTTCTCTTTCTCTCTCTTTTTCCTCTTTCTTCTTTCACATAAGTTGAAGTTTCTTTATTGTAAAATCAGATGTCAACTCCGCTCGAGTGAGAAAAGCAGTTGTACGATCAGACGTTGATTCAGTTTTTTTCTCCCTTTTTTAAATTTCAACCTTTCCAAACGTTTCATCCGCTGATTTCTCGCACGGCTTCGAGTCTTCTTTCGCTTTATTTCCCGCATTTTCTCCCGCATCACCCATGCGAGATTCGCACGCCCGCGAGAAGGCGAACTATCGGAATACCATGTGTTACTCGATAATATGGGCTGGGATTTGTTATTTGAGTGAGATTTATTGCGGTTTTATGCGTCGTCGGGTGCGACGCGCGTATAACCGCGCCGTCGCGCGCGAACCCGGCAAATTACGATCTCTCTCTCTCTCTTTCTCTCTCTAAAGAAATATCTGTTCACATTTTTTTTTCTACTCCTATTTTCTTTAACGAATTTGTTGAGTATCGTCTCAAATAGCGGAATTAGTGCTCGGTCTTTTGCGATTTTATGGTCTCCGCGAATCAGCGCTACCGCTTTCAACTTAGATCCGGTGCTTATTCGCGTTCATTTGCGCTTTTACGTTTTACAACTGCCGGGAATGAAAATGGCAAACGCGCTCTCGCACACCCACGAACTACACAAAACGAGC